TCGCACTGTGGGCGTTATGGCTGGAGGGAAAAATATCTATTGCAACTATCTATTGGAGTTACTGATTGAGGTAAAGCAAGCCTGATGAATGTCATGGGCATGCATTTACATACACATGTCAACACATATATGTAAATTGTGTATATACTATATAATATAATAAATATATAGATATTATATACTCTATACTATATATAGTACTATATGTGTGTGTCACCCCCAAGGTGGTCGTGTGTGTGTGTGCTGTGCGTGTGATGTGTGTGTGTCCGTGGTGTGTCGCCTTGTGTGTGTGTGTGTGTCGTGTGTGTGTTGTGTGTGCGTGTGTGTTGCGTGTGTGCATGTGTGTGTTGTGTGTGGTGTGTGTAGTGTATATATTATGTTGCTATGTATGATTTGTGGTATTATGAATGCATATGTATATGTGTGCCCAGCTCAACACACACGCCTATATATACATACATATACCAACAAGTATAATTCTATATATAATAGATAATAGTAGATAGATAGATACATACATACATACAATACATACATACAATATAGAGTAAGATAGATAAATAGATACCTAAGATATATATATATTAATAATATATATATATATAATGAGTATATACAGAGAGAGAGAAGATAATAAAACTAATATTATATACTATATTATATATACATATATATATATATATATATATATAAATATATATATATATATATACATAATATATTATTTGTATATATATATATATATACATATATACATAATATATCATATATATATATATATATATATATATAGATATATAGATATATTATATATATGTGTGTGGTGTGTGTTTGTGTGTGTGTGTGTATGTGTGATGTGTGATGTATTACATATATATATGTATATATATATATATATATATATATATATATATATATATATATATATATGCATATATATATACATATATATACCTATATATGTGCGTGTGTGTTAGGTCTAGATTCTAGCCTGACCTGGGTGCCGAGGAAGCGACAGGTGCGGGAAAGTGCCGTTGAGTTGCGAGCTCATGGCCGGCGCGACGACGACCGAGGCGTTGTACATCCTCCTGAGGGCGAAGAGCGTGGCATATTCGCCCATGACATTCCCGAAGCGTCCCAGGGGCTGGCACGTGATCACAGGCATCTGGAAGCCATGCCACTGGCGCTTGTATTTTACCCACCTGGTTGGCGGGACGACTGTGGGAGGCATGTAACTGGGAACCTCGTCCTGGGGAGTGAGGGAAACGAGCTTAAAAAAAGTAAATGGTGATATATTTATAAACTTCGGAAATGTGGATGAAGGAGCGTGTAAGGAATTGGTACGACTGCGTTAAGGATATGGGGAAGAGGATGACCCATAGAGCAGGCATAAGCATTAAGTGGAATATTCTGTGTGTATTTACTTGTAAGACCCTCTATCTGGCCCTTTCCTTGTAGAAATTTCGCGCGACGTGATTCTAAGCAACAAGCAATATTCCTTTATCAGAACCGGTCGATGCAGTAATTACTGTTCCGACACTATTACCAATCTTTGGACCTAAAGTTTCAAACCATAGAAGGAAGACTACGTGTAAAAAGATACCAAGTTTTAGTCCTTCGGTGAAAGAAAATTGCAACGCTAAATGATCTTTTAATGCACAGACTACCCTGTCCCTTAAGCAAACATAACGGGATAGCATCAACACCTCAGGACCCACCATGAGAATACCTAGGAAATGCGAAAACTACATTAGTGCACTTCCACGGCTCTGGGTACGGTCTTGGGTGGACTCTAGATGTACCAGGGGCCGGACTCTCAAAAGAGTTAAGGCGAACTGGAGCCCTTAACCGTCCTGCCGTATTTCCCTTGTACAAGAGCGAAGAGAGTTGATTTCCCGCCCGCCGGAAAGCGCTAAAGGCTGCTCTCCCTTGCCTCAACCTAATATCGGACGGGTCCTTGCTCTGTGTATATGGGCCGTAAGACGCTCGGCCGTAAGTTAAGGCGCCTTAAGGAGATACAGCGCCTTAACGCGTTTGAGAATCCGGCCTCAGTTATCTAATGCGAATGCTTGTTTGATTGGCACGTGGGGGGTGAGTTCCTGGGAAGCTATAGATGGACTGCTTAAACGGAAAAATTCACGAGATAGCATGAGTTAATAGATTGTTTAATTTGCACAATATTTATTAGAAATATATATATATATATATATATGTATATATATATATATATATATATATATACTAATATATAAGGACTGGACAATCAGAATTTCAGTTAATTCATTTGGATTTATGAAACCGAAAGAAAGAGAGAGAGAGAGAGAGAGAGAGAGTGAGTTTGTGGGTGTGAGAGTCGTTACCAGTACCTCTTATCACTCTCGGTCATCATTCAGTCTTGAACATGGGTATATCTATACACACATTATATATATATGTGTGTGTGTGTGTGTGTGTGTGTGTTGTGTGTGTGTGTGTGTGTGTGTGTGTTGTGTGTGTGTATATATTATATATATATATATATATATTATATATATTATATTATATATATATTTATATGTATGTATGTATGTGACTAAATTTAGATATATACATACATATATATACGTATATATGTATAAATATATATCATATTACATAATACTTTTTATATACATAACATCTATAAACAGACATATGCTTATTTTCATATGCAATATATACATATACATTATACATGTATGTATATACAATATATACCAAACATATGAATTCATATATATACGTGGATATATACATGCATGCATTACATATATATATTATATATATATATATATATATATATATACTATATATATGTATGTATGTATATATACATATGTGTGTGTGTGTACACAGATATACATGGTGCATACAGAAAAAGTGTGTGTGTGTGTGTTGTGTGAGAGAGAAAGAGAGAGAGAGAGAGAGAGGAGAGAGAGAGAGAGAGAGAGAGAGAGAGAGGAGAGAGAGAGAGAGAGAGAAGGAGAGAGAGAGAGATTATTCCCCCCTCTCCTACCCCCAATCCTACCCGTTGCACTCCAACGTTATCTCGACTCGTCTCCCCGCCGGTCTCTCGTCGTTAACGGGAGCGTGAGACTTCAAATCTACCTGTAATGCTATTTTTCTCTGTCTCTGTGACGTTTCTTGAATACTTATTCTCTTGTGGATTAACGGACTTTTCACTTCTTCACTATGTTGCTATATAGCTCATGCACGTTCCTTACGTCTTGCACTACGTGTTTGACCATGTCTGCCTTATTCTTTCTGGTCCATCGAGAAATCTTCCGTCAGTAAACTTGTTTCGTAAATAGTAAGAATATCTATCAACTAAGTATAAATACATTATCACTTTCCCTTGATTGTCTTCTTTACAAACTCTTCTTTCTGTTTCTTTTGCAAATCTTCTCCGTCTCTCCCACTTCTCGTCAATAATCCTCATAATATACTCATTCCAATTTCAAATTAATCACATCATCAATATTCGGAACATCCTACATTGAATCTTCTAAATCTCATCTTCTCTCGTAAAACCTTCCCCTTCTTTCTCGTCGAGCTCTCCCATCCCTCCTACCCTGCTCTTCCATTCGTTATCAGTCTCATCAGTCCTGACCCGGTTCGAGCTCCCGACGGGGCCTCTTCATGTATACTTCATGAACCTCGCTCTATCTCTCATCCACTTTCTGTCCTCTCTCGTTCCGTGTCAGTTTGACTTCTTCACTCTCTCCTGCGTTCATAACGTGTTCTTATTTATGTTGGTATTTCTCATTTCTGATTCTTATGGTTTCTCATTTTCTCAAAGAGTACTCAGTCTATCGTTCCCACTTCTCTCCACATACACACCTTGGGCCGGATCTATTCTGGTCGGAGAAAATCACGCGCACAGACACACACAGTCTTGTTATAATATAGTTGATATTAATCGAGCTGTATGCTCGTAATTATTACCGTTTTGAAAGAATTATGAATGTGACGATGGCTCGTGATTGGAACTGAATAGTTATTTGTATTCTGTAACACAATTTGACTTAGGTTCTCCACTTACTTCTCACTGAATATATATCATTCCCATTGACTCTCATCGTATTCTACTACATGCCATACAAATACCATACAAAGAAATATATACAATAATAAAAATTAATTATAACTTAAACATATTCTAATAACCACTAAACTACATACTATTGCATATATTATATACTGTGTTCATCTTTCTTATTTCTAACTAGTTATTAACATCCCTGGATCTACTTAAATCTCACTACCACTAATATATACATACTATATAAATCCATTTGAGATCATTTAAACCGCGCTTGGGCCTTTCTTTAGTACACAACTATTTTTCCCCCTTCGCAAGGTAGGAAGAACTGGTCTGGGCGGAAGTGGGGGCTGGGGGCGACGGTATAGGGAGAGAGTGGGTAGGACGTTTTTAATCTGCGATTAGGCGGACCGTTTCCATCCCCACCACCCCTCATTCTACAACTCCAACCGCAAGGGAGTCCTCACTCACCTTCCCTCATACCTCCCCCTTGGCGTTATAAAACGAGTGAAAATGGGTTAGACGGTCCGACGCCGGCGTCAGAGGCATCGAATTCACGGCAGGTGGTCGCCGGAGAGGAGGGGCGCCGGAGGGAGTCGGTGATGGGGGTAAACCAGTGTGTCTTTGATATAGGGGCGTCCGGGGGAGCGAGGGTGTAGTTAGGAGGGGAGGTACGTGTCCAGACATTCCTGAAGAGGAGGAGGAAGTGAAGTTGGCATGGGGAGCATATTCAAAGGAGACGCGAGTGAGGGTAGGAAATGAATGAAAGGGTGAGCATGCGGGGTTATGGCACAGAGTGGAATGAGAGGTATCTATCTGTATATATGTGGAAACAAAGGCCTAGTTTTAAACATTTTAAGAATTTTGAATAAGTGATTGGATAAATGGATTGACATATTACTGGTGAGGAAATGGGAGGGGGGGTTATAAACTTGGTGTACGTCGGTGGAGGGGATTATCAGAGTGTGTGATATGGCTGATAGGAATGGGGTAATTAGATTAGGGGATAAGAATATATGGAGTAAGATAATATAGATAATGATAATAAATGGGGATAGGCACAAGGACAAATACTATGATGAAAAGAGAGGAGGAGATAAAGACAAGGGATGTACCGGAACACTTAAGTGATAATGAGAGGTATAGTAGATGGAAGAGGCCGACTAATAATACAAAATTAGACAATATGAAGTAAATGGAGAGAGGATGGATAATACGACAAGAGTGATGATAATGAAATGAGTAATAAAACAGATAACATAAAATTCATTCTTCTTATTATTGTTTGCTGGTTGTTTATTACTAATTATTATTCATTATATAATCAATCCTCATCCTTTATCGTGTATTAACTATTATTCACGTCATTGTCATTAAGTGTATTATCTATATATTTAGAGGATCCATTATTAGTTAGAGGGGGATGTGAGATTATGTTAAGATTTCACTCTTTATCTAAGTGTGTTGAAGGGCTCATTGTTTATTCCTATTATTTTACTATATTGTTTTTATTATTATTATATACTAATATTATCCCATCATTAATTATTATCAGGGATTACTTACTGCGGCATTATACTATTTATATATTACATCATTATCTATCATTATTATTAGTCAATTATGTGTGGAAATAATTGAGTGCTTAATTCTCCGTTGTTATTATAGTGGGCTACTCTATCATTACATTCTTTTATAATTTGATTTATTATTTCAAATAATATGAACGAGAATAAGTAAATATAATAATACGCTTCTCATTTCACCAAAAATCACAATTACTTTATACTGCAGCATCATTTCTTTCCTGAATCAGAGTATATCAGTCTTTATTCTATCTCGGACCTAATAGATCAGTAATAAATAAATAAAATGTATTAAACCAACACAATAGCAATAGTATCACTCTATTATTACAAAGAGAAGGAATCTAAAGAAAAGAAGTAGCTGATTTTCATCTCACAGATTAAGACATAATATTACATAGTGTAATTTTTTTTGTGTTCCTTTGTTTATTTTTTGTTTTTGTGTATATGATTTCTTCGAACCTTTTCTTAAAGGTCGTTTATTATAATTACCTATTATATTTATTTCTTTTTTAATATTGAGGTTTGTTTTACTACCTGTCTTTTCATTATTCCTTATTGCTATTGTCTAGAATAATATCATTATTTTGTTTAAAGTATAAAATATTGAGAGCTAAAATTCTTACG